CATACAAAATACTGAGTATCATTTTGAGTTGCTGCAATTAAATTTCCACAAAATGTACTAGCCTGCTGCATCATTTTTTCACTTTGATTTACAAGATGTCTTTGAATTCAGTCCTCTGTAGGTTGATAATTTTCATTTCCATCAAATGATGGGGTATCCTTACATTCCTAACACATTACCCTGTCCATATCAGTATAGATATCCAATGTTTTTCTTCCCCATTGAAATCTGATGTGTTTTCAAAATGTTCCTTTAATTTTTTTGAGCAGTGTATATTCATAGGACTGTGTGGTATAATATTACATTAGGCTTATAGGTTTGAAACTATGCAGTGGTCTATGACATAATTAGAATGTTAGTGCGTTTGAAATTTCCAATTATTATAATCACTTCCCAAAGTCTTTATTCATTTATTTATTACAGCATGAATGCAGGTCACAAAATCATTTGGGATGAACATATAGAATGCAGCCCATACCTGCATCAAATATTTTCTATCCTTAGCAGTGAATTTAAAGATTCATCAAGTCCTGGTAGCTGCTCAACCAACCCCAGCAGTCCAATGTTGAGGAATGACCTCAGCCACCATATTAGCCACGTCCTCTGATGTGTTTTTTTGCCCCACCCACTGGGGGCTTGGTCACAGAGGTAGGTAGGTAGAGGTAGGTAGAGGACTGCATCTGCGACCAAGCCCCGGTGGTGGGGCAAAATGCATCAGCAGGCGTGGGCAGTATGGCGGCTGAGGCCGTTCTCAACATTGAACTCCTGGGGTTGTTTGAGCAGTGTCCATCCCTTCACTTATATCGACTGACACTGGAATTGTTCAGACTCATGCTCCCCTCTTCTCACTTGGTGGTGGGGTGATCCTTTTCCTTCCATTCATAGCTTGGAGCGACGCCATAAGGTATACTGTTCAGTAAGTCCTAGCAGCTGTCTGCATTCTGTGTTGGAATTCAAATTAAGGCCAAAGCTTAATGTTGAGGACTCAGACTACTTGTACCTCCTTACACATGTTATTCTGATGGTATAACATTGACATTTTTTCAACATTACAGGAATATCATTAACCAGCTGAAAGTCCCACACTTCCCTCTCACTATGTACCTAGAAGAAGAACATACCAGTAATGGCGGCAGGATAGTAGAAATTTCCCCACTGAAGACCCATGCAGCAGTAAAAAACAGACAAATGTTCTAAACCCTCATTTTGCCCAGCAATAGAACAATGGTTTGGCATGACTTTGTTTTGATCATTCATCTACAATACGCTAGAAGATAATCAAAAGAAGCACAATCTTTGCTGAGATATGTTTTATCTTGCTATTTAACTTAAATGTTTTTGTCTTCCATATCAGCAATCAATACGGACTTTGGTATGCACAGAGATTCTGACATTTTATAATTTAATGACAGGAGTGAGAATTAGCTTTGAGGGGTGGCAGGGCTTATTTCCAACTTGGGCATTTTTTTAATACTCTATGTACAGCCTGGGCCCGGGATACAAGGCTCTCCACATGGACACATAACATAGATCAATGCTAAGAAAAACATGGATACCGTAAGGTACCTAATGGTGCCAACACATTAACACCTTTGTTACAGTAAATATTTTTGACATTGTCAGTTTCACTTTGATGCATTATTTTTGTGACACTTGATCAACAAATTTTAATTATGTAAAAAACTACTTTTTTCAAATGTAACACAATATTGAGCCTCATTAATGCCAACTTTTACCAAGAACCTTCTGGCATTGGTCATCTAATCCTTAGATCTCCTTGGCATTGAAATAGTTATTACCAGTACCATCTATCTTTGTAAATGTTTCTAAGCAAATCATTATGTTTTTCATTAACACACCTATGTAACATAAACGCAAAAGTGGAATACCTTTACCAACAGCTGAGATGTGACATGATTGATAACATGATTGTAGATATAGTTTAAATCAGTGGCATTAAAGATTCAGTATTCTCTTGATTCAGTAATCAATAGTAGCCGGATGCTCCTCAATTAGAGTGTACAAGGGGGAACGAGCAGGCCAGTAGACCAGAACTGACACATAGATGCCAATAATATTTTCACTTCTCCTTAGAGACAGGTTAGAATAAATGAACTATCACCTCACAGAGCCTCAAAGGGAAGCTCTAGTGGTTTCGTCTTCAAGACCAGCAGGGGATGAGGCCTATATGGACAGAAACTCTGAATTGTCTACCACCAATTAGTTTTATGTCAAAGATCAGAGGAATATATTTTATCTCACATGAAAACTAAAATATTAGTTGCAGAGAGATAAAAACAATTCTTTCTGATCGTGCACATACATATGAAATAGTCTACATAGTGTGTATAAAATTTATGAGAGATCCACAGAATGGTTGAATGGTGTCTGCTCACGACAACCAAGCAGTTATTGGTCTTGTTGTGATTGTACCAATACGCTGCTGTTGGAAATCCTAACCTCAACCAAACCTTCAGAACCGTTCATGGCCAATTTTACTCTGGTCACTCCAGAATGCGGAACCATCCTGCAGGCTGAGGAGGGAACACCCCCAGGGTTGATTGGCCTAGGGCTAAAGTCCAGCCCACATATTTCAATTAATTAGAGAGTATGCAATATGGACAGTGTGATTTACATGGAGCTGGCCTAAACTGGGGGATTGTGAATGTTTCTGACAAGCTCCTGTCAACAGGATAGTTCTAAGTAAAAGTTTATTTCTATTTTTTATCCCTTTTTATTTTTTAGCAAATAGCTAAACTTTGTAAGTCCTTTTGTTTTTTTTATTTTTTGTAATTCTTTCCTTTGCATATATTTTATGCACTGCCCACTTTTGGGATATTATGTTATAAATTGAATAAGTAGCCTCTGTGTACTAAGCTAGGACTCATATCCCTTGATTGATTGTTCCATTGTAGTGTCTATGTGTTCAGTCTAAATTTCTTGCTAATCTGTATGCAGTTGCACTGTGCATTGACAGATTGCATCCAGATTGTAATCTAGCAGGTCTGACAGATGGAGATCTGTGTGTGTGTGTGTTTGCCTAGCAAAGCAGTCAGCAGGCAAACTGCTAGATGGTGGCAAGCTATTTTGAGACGTGTCTGTGCTGTGCGGGTGTGCATGGGCAGTGGAAAGAGTGATTAACACAAGGGTTCTAGCTCGTAGGATAGCATAAGTGTGTGTGCTAATTCTTAGACTGATCCCTAACCCTTATAGTGCACCAGATTGCATGTAGGATTTGTATTTGCCCATGTGTGGTCGCTCAGCTATATTGGAGTGGTGTCTACTTCTAGTGGTGGCCAGAGGTAGTGTGGACTGTGAAAAGTGTATCCCAGCCAGTCTTACTTGGTCAAAGTAAGCTCCCCCTAATTTTGTCACGTACTTGCATAGTTCCTATTTGAGCAACAGCCCTGGATAGGGAGACAGAGACTGCAGGGGTGAAAGAAAGGCACAAATGCCAAGGTGTAGCCGCTGTGAACAGGAACTTGAGAGCGCTGGTGTGTGAAGAGCAGAGATACAGCTAGTGATACACTGTGATAATACCGAGTTCAGCGGATGGTGTACACTGGGATGTACACAGAATCAGAGTCAGGAACAGGCAGAGGTTGGCAACAATCAGGCAGTGTGGTACAGAATCATCAGGCAGACATGTGGTCAGTTGTCCAGGTCGGGGTCTGTAGCACAGGCAGACAGCAAACATGCGCAGGTAGGGATAATCCAGGAGCAAGGTCAGAGCAGGATCCAGGTCGGTAACAGGATCATGGATGCACATCAGGACTGGATCATGAGTATAAGGCTGAAGACCATATAGAACAGGACTAATGCATGGTTGAAGTTTAAGTAGGTTGCTTGTCAGCAATGCGCATGTGCGCGCGTAAATGTGTACATGCACAAGTGCTCATACAGTATGTGTGCGCAAATGAACAATCTGTCTTCTATGCTTATGCACACATATATTAGCCAAACAACAAGTCTTAGTCTGACAGCTGGTAACATGTTCCTGGCACATTCCCTCCGACACCAAACAAGGTCTTCATCTAAATTAGCTAGTCGCTGCGGGCTTGCGTCCTTGCGTCCAACTTAGTTATATCTGTTTTATAAATCCTTTTTTAAAAGCTAAAAACCTAAACTGTTATAATAAATTTACTACAATACAAAGAAGATCCCTTGTCAAAAGTATCCCTTGAAGTTCACATACCCCAGGCTGAGAGCCTGATCAATACAGAATTTTCACATATACACTATATTGCCAAAAGTATTGGGATGCAGGCCCTTACACGCACATGAACTTTAATGGCATCCCAGTTTTAGTCCATAGGGTTCAGTATTGAGTTGGCCCACCCTTTGCAGCTATAACATCTTCTGGGAAGGCTGTCCACAAGGTTTAGGAGTGAGTCTATGGGAATGTTTGACCATTCTTCCAGAAGCGCATTTGTGATGTCAGGCACTGATGTCAGACGAGAATGCCTGGCTCGCAGTTTCCGCTCTAATTCATCCCAAAGGTGTTTTATCGGGTTGAGATCAGGACTCTGTGCAGGCCAGTCAGGTTCCTCCACTCCAAACTCACTCATCCATGTCTTTATGGACCTTGCTTTGTGCACTGGTGCGCAATCATGTTGGAAAAGGAAGGGGCCATCCCCAAACTGTTCCCACAAAGTTAGAAGCATGAACTTGTCCAAAATGTCTTGGTATGCTAACGATGTAAGAGTTCCCTTCACTGAAACTAAGGGGTCAAAGCCCAACCCCTGAAAAACAACCCCACACCATAATCCCCCCCTCCACCAAACTTTACACTTGGCACAATGCAGTCAGGCAAGCACCGTTCTCCTGGCAACTGCCAAAACCCAGACACGTCCATTTGATTGCCAGGCAGGGAAGCATGATTCGTCACTCCAGAGAATATATCTCCGCTGCTTTAGAGTCCAGTGGCAGCATGCTCTACACCACTGCATTCAACGCTTTGCATTGCACTTGGTGATGTAAGGCTTGAATGCAGCAGCTCGGCCATGGAAACTCTTTCCATGAAGCTCCCTACACACTGTTGTTGTGCTAATCTGAAGACCACAGGAAGTTTGGAGGTCTTTAGCTATTGACTTGGCAGACAGTTGGTGACTTCTGTGCGTTGTGCGCTTCAGCATGCCCTGACCCCGCACTGTCATTTTTCATGGCCTACCACTTCGTGGCTGAGTTGCTGTTGTTTCCAGTTGCTTCCACTTTGGTATAATACCACTAACAGTTGCCTGTGGAATATTTAGTAGCAAGGAAATTTCATGGATGAACTTATTGCACAGGTGGCAACCTATCACGGTACCATGCTTGAATTCACTGAGCTCCTGAGAGCAACCCATGCTTTCACAAATGTTTTTAGAAGCAGTCTGCATGCTTAGGTGCTTGATTTTATACACCTGTGGCCATGGAGGTGATTGGAATGCCTGAATCCAATGATTTGGAAGGGTGCAGGGGCGGACTGACCATTTGGAAACTCGGGCACTGCCCGAGGGCCCGGGGTCAGTAGGGGGCCCCATGAGATGCCCCTGGTACCTTTTTTATAGGCTTTTTTGAGTTTGGGCAAGGACACAGGGGCCCCATGATCCCCTATTGCCCTGGGGCCCCATGAGTTGTCAGTCCGCCCCTGGAAGGGTGTCACAATACTTTTTGTCAATATAGTGTATGTACATTGATTCAGAAACTTATCTTAGCTTAAGTCCCATTGCATGGTATCAATAGCACTTTACAGAGAAATTTCCATCTTAACTGTTTGTTCGATATTTATTCAATGTACAATTTTTCACAATTCTGCAATCATTCTATGGTACATAGGTTGCTTTTGTGCTTCATAATTGCCACTGTTGTCTGTAAAATAATTATTGTTACCTGGGCAACAAGTCTGCTATTGCTATACACATATTCATAAACAGTACTAGTGGGCGTTTTGGTCACATATTCCTGAGTACTGTGTGAATAACTGTTATTGCCTGGACAGTGAGGCTTTTCTTTTGTATTACTAAGAATGAAACAGACATTCATACATTGGTTTACTGTTGGCCATTTCTATAATATATTGTATGAAAAGGCACAATAGTTATTTTTATACTGTAAGTATAAAACTGTGTATTAAAGCAGATGTAAACCCAAGCTAAATGATATTTCGTTTGTTAAAGCAGAGTGTTGCATAAACAATTGCCTTTTTTAAAATAAACCGCCCGCTTTCACTTATTTGTCATCCTTTGCTGTTTTTCATTATTGCTGAATTTCTACAGGCTCTTTGCAACCACTTCCCATCTGTATTGTACCTGCTTGCACTAATACGATGGCTGTATGGCATTTTTTTTGGGCGGGTTTCCTGATGATGACAACAGTGAAAAATGCCTGTATGATATGTGTTGAAACAGACACTTTTAGTTCCCAACAGAAGTCTGTGTGACAGGGTGGCTAGACAGAAGCATAATCTAAGACAGGGTCAGAACATTTTCACCATATAGCAAGAAGTACTCAATATAAGCATTTAGGCGGGGGTCATGCTATCACAACTTTGAGAAAGATTCCTCTTTAACCCCTTGGTGCCAGTGCCTCCTGGCCCTTTAAAGCGTTTGTGACACCGAGAAGTGGGGTTTAGGGTCATGTGACAGCCGTGATTGGCTGTCACATGATCAGAAAGGTTCCGATTGCAAGTAAAGATTGGTACCTTTCTGTGAGGCGCCGGTAAATGTGACAGGAGCACTTGGGTGCATGCTCTTGGCACATGTTTGTTTACTTTGGGTATGCGTCAAGGCCCAGCTGCCGAGAGGCCGCTTATTTGCATACTGTTGGTGCCAACAGGTTGAAAAACCTTAATCCAGGAATCCAGGAAGGGGAATGATTTAATTTCCTTCCTGGCAGGATCATATATAAGACACGCCGTAAGAAAAAACACAACACAAGCGCTCAAGTCCGTGAGCATCCCAGGACCACAGTAACAGTCACTTGCGTAGGTGCAGCCCTCTAAAGATCGGGGGAAATCTTGATATTACTGGTAGAAGGCAAAGAAGGGGTGCACTCTCCTCGTGCATTACTGTGATAAAAAGGAATTTATTTGAAAATTTAAAAAAATGTACAGTATATTCACAAACCAAGATTCATTAAACAAGCTAGGAACGAATGTGACAGTCCGAGCAAATGGTATTCTAACAGCAGGGAGACGTACCTTTTTCTTCAGAGATAAAGCAACTATACAAAAAGCAAACTTATATAGAGGAGTAAGATAAAATGGGAGGCCACTAGAGCAGATCATGTGAGAGGCCAAAAGGCTCCTCCCTCTCCTGGTGACCACTGTAATGATAGGTTGACCAATCAGGAGGGGAGGCAAGAAAGAAAACATATGACAGAAACGTCAAACTTCCAATACGTGACGACTGCCAAAAACAGAGAGAAAAAACAAAAGGGTATTAAAAATATAATATCATAAGTTTGTGTGTTCATGATTTGAGTACTATTAGTGCTGGTATGAAGAAAGAATGGAAACATTTTAAAGCATATCAATGGCTATATAACTATAAGATGGGCAGGTATTCATGAATGGAACACAGTGTAAATGGCGTCCTCAGCAAGTGACATCTTGCTTACTACTATTCATGTGATCACTGATTGGCCAATCAGTGATCACATGATCGGGACCTCACACAGTGTCCTCCGGACACAGCGGGCACCTGATTGCGGTGCCAAATGCTCCCAGGAAGCGCGCATAGGCTGTAAATGCAGGCGCCGTTTATGAACGGCAACCCGCTCCTGCACTGCTCCCGTCCGGTCATTTATGTACATGGGCTGGATGGGAAGTGGTTAATATTATTTATAAAAACTGGCCATAGATGACTAATTTTTTTCTTTTAGCCAGAGGGTTGAATGAAAAAAAAAAAGTGAACGGATTCCTCCGTACACTCAAGTGAGGTGGATGTAGGAATCCTCATCACCAGGACGTTGTATCCTGACAGCAGGACTCTCTGCTGCCAGAATACACTGATTAGCAGTTGCAGCTGATTGAGAAAAAAATTCCAACAATTCGATTCAGCAGAAGTCAGTTCAATGAATGACTTCTGATGGACAGGGACAGCATGCCATGAATCGAAATCTGACTGGTCCCTGCTGCCAGCCAGCCCAATTTCGATCTATCTATGGCCAGCTTAAGCACGGAAGCAGATTTGTGCTGGAGTGGTCAGTTTGCATCTAATTCTTTCCTTTGAAGGAGACACCATATACAGAAATGTGACTCTGTAGTCAGATTATAGATGCATCCCCGCTGGCCATCACAGCTGCAAGAAATCTGTGACAACAGCGAACCATTGGCCAATCTTAACCTGCCTTATGCCGCTGCAGCCATTTCGCAGCAGAAACCATGCACAGATGGTGGTGAACTCCCAACCTGGAGTGTAGAAGGGGCATGCTGTAGTTCCCCACTATGTTAGAGGTCGCTAACAGTCTGCCTCCTTTAAAGAAGGACTTGCCCCTGCAATGCACTGATACAACACAGAAAGGTGTGGGCTCACGGGACCTTAACATTAACTACATGCCGCCCAGCCACTGTGCATATACGGCGGCAGGGCGGCACTCGTTTTAAAATGTGTGTTTTGTAAACAAATAGGGGGCGCGCGCGAGGCGCGCTGCCGCCCTATTTGTCCCGCCGATCACCGCCGCAGATGTCAGTCGCCGGGTCACAGCCGCTCCTTAGCGGCTATCTCCCGGCGATCGGCGGCAAACAGTGACAGACAGCACAGCTGCAGTAGCTGTGCTGTCTGTCACTTCCCTGTCAACTCGAGGATGAGCTGATCGAGAAAGAACAGTTTCTCTTTCTCGATCAGCCTTGTCCCGCCCAGTACACACCCCCCGCCCCCTAGTAAAACACTCCCCTCACTCCTATAACCCTTCCCTGCAAAATAAAGTTAACCCCTTCCTCCCCATTGCCATTAGTACAGTGTCAGTGGTTTTTTTTTTTGCACTGATCACTGTATTAGTGTTTTTGGGGATGTCAGTGACCCCAAGTCAGTACCCCCCAAGGTCAGAATGTCCGCCGCAGTCTCACCATAAGTCGCTGGTCGCTGCCATAAGTCCCTGATCGCCGCCATCAGTCCCTGATCGCCGCCATTATTAGTATAAAAAAAAACCTACAAATCCCAGTATCTTTCCCACCATTTGTAAATGCTATAACTTTCACGTAAACCAATTCATTTACACGTATTGGTTTTTTTTTTTTAGCAAAGACATGTCACAGAATAAATTTTGGCAGAAATTTATGACTAAATTTTATTTTTGCATTTTTTTTTTTACTGGACATGTTTTATAGCAAAAAGTCCAAAATATTGTTTTTTTTTCCTCAAAATTGTCAGCCTTTTTTTTTTTATAGCGCAAAAAATAAAAAACCGTACAGGCGATCAAATACCACCGAAAGAAAGCTCAATTTGTGGGGAAAAAAAAGATGTAAATTTCATTTATGTACCATATTGCATGACCCGCGCAATTGTTCGTTAAACTAGCGCAGCGCTGTATAGCAGAAAAATGGCGCAAATTGCAGTATTTATACCATAGTTTGTAGACGCTATAACTTCCACACAAAGCAATCAATATACACTTATTGGGATTTTTTTTACCAAAAACATGTAGCAGAATACATTTTGGCCTAAATTTATAACCAACTTTGAGTTTACTATATATTTTTTATAGCTGAAAGTAAAAAATATTGTTTTTCTTCAAAATTTTTGGCATTTTTTTGTTTATAGCGTTAAAAATAAAAAGCGCACAGGTGATCAAATTACACCGAAAGAAAGCTCTATTTGTGTGAAAAAAAGGATGTAAATTTCGTTTGGGTGCAGCATTGCATGACCGCGCAATTATCAGTTGAATTAGTGCAGCGCCAAGTAGCAAAAAAAGAGGCCTGGTCATTAAGGGGGGTAAATCCTCTGGACTTCAAGTGGTTAAAAAGCTACTGTTTTTCTTTATAGGAAACAGTTGATACAGTTATGGGACAAATGTATACTTGGCTTTATAACGAGGTGCTCTGGGTTGAGTGCATCCACATATACTTTAATTTTAATAAAATCATCCAAAGCAAAACAATATTCACTACGTTTTTTCTTCAGAAATAGGCTAAAAAAGCAAACATTTGTGTGACAATGCGATATGCTTGTTTTGCACTTTAGGCCAGTTCTCTTGTCAGCTTATATCTAAAAGATGTGTTACATCAATAAAGATAGAAGTGATATAGTTTGACAATCCAGGACACAGATATTAGACACTTTTCTATTTATTTTTTCTAGCCATTAATGTTTGAGGTTTTAATATTTTTCGTAATAATAGTACATACTATTTGATTGTGTGGCCGAATAGTGTGTTTTTTTTACTTATGTCTTTTATA